TTCCAGCAGAGCAGCGTTCTGCCTACCACACAAAGCATGAGGACAGAAGGATGGAATTCACTCTGCATTAGCTGGAGATGCTTCTAATGAAAACACCTGAAGGGAGGAATGCTAGAACCAGGGTGAGGTTTAATAACCAAAGATGCTGCTGATACACGGCTTTTGCAGAGAGATGGTGAGCTGTAGGTCTTGACTGCATCCTATCTGCCAAGTACTCACTGTCCGTGGATTCCAGGAAGAAAAGCTGAAGAATTATGTAGACATACGCTGGTGGGTGGCCGGGTTTAGGAAAACATGTAGCTGCTTCTCAGTGCCCTTATTGCCTGTAAAAGAACATTTCACACGATCAACCCCTCGAATTTATGGGAACCCTAAGGGGTAAATTTCCCGTGCTGTGAAAGGAGACACACTCACACAATTCTTATTATTGTTAATAGAAACTGTGTGTTAACTTCTAACTCACTGCCCCTGGTTGAGGATAAATTGTGTGAGTGAGTGAGTGTGTGTGTGTGTGTGTGTGTAAACCCTAAATATCTCTAACTCACCTATCTCCATGTAGAAGAAAATTATTGCCTGTAAACCTACCTCCATTTCTCAAGAAGCCCTTCTGTGGTTTTTTTTTTTCCTGCAATGATACTTTTTAGATCAATCTTTTTAAAGACTAAGTTGGAAAAGAGTGAAAATGAGGCCAGTTGATAGCAGTTGTTCTTAGAAAAGAGGACGTCTGTTTGTCCTCTCCAATGGGAGTGAGGGTTTGTAATACCAGCTGATGCCATGTCTCTTTCTAAATTTTGGAAGAACCGACAGCAGAACTAAGAGTCTAGACAGGAAGGAGGGACCAACAGGGACACCAAAAAAGTGAGGAAAACAAGATCATGGTGTCTTGGAAGCCAAGTGAGAAAATGTATCGAGAAAACGGGGATCAACAATGCCAAACAAACCCTTTGCAGTGAAGCAGAGACAGAAGCCCTTCCATTCCCCCTCACCCCCAAAATTTTGCAACTCTTGGACTGTGGCCCACCAGGCTCCTCTGTCCATTGGATTCTCCAGGCAAGAATACTGGAGTGGGCTGTCATGCCCGCCTCCAGGGGATCTTCCCAACCCAGGGATCGAACTTATGTCTCCTGCATTAAAGGTGGATTGTTCACCGCGGAGCCGCCAGGGAAGTCCACCAGAAGATTAACAGTGTAGAGAAAGAGAAATGCAATCCTGGGATCTCACACAGTTCAGCTCTAAATAGTAGTTTAAAAGTCATAGTGATGTAAAAATGCACTGTTGATCAAACAAAACAGATAGTTCTTCTGAGAGCGTGAGGCAGGGACATATGGGGGAGGGGGATGGTGAGAGGTGGGTAATTGAGCAGTATTATTTTATCCAGAGTAGGAAGGTGTTATATAGTATCTAGAGCTTAAAAGAAAACCATTGACATCTAGATGAAGAGACCAAAAGTTGATTTAGGAATAGATATTTCCCTGTAATCCCTTCCCTGATGGTTCAATTGGTAGAGAATCTGCCTGCAATGCAGGAGACCCCTCCTGTTCGATTCCTGGGTTAGGAATATCCATTTATTTCCCTATAATTATATATTTATCATATGTATAATTATATAACTTTTATCATTATATAATCATTGTATTTCTAATTATATAATATAATTATTCCCTATAATTTCCCTATAATAAGCCCTATAGAAGTATATGCTTTTAAAAATAATATGTATGCATAAAGTTAATAAAAATGAAAACATGAAGGAGGGAGCTGTGCATCCAAGTGGGCTTTAAAGGCGAGGGAGGCTCTTCTACGCCTGGCCCCTCAGCCAGAAATTACCCCAGAACCTTCAGTGTCTGGACCACAGCGGTGCAATTCCCATTTGGTCTGCTTTTGAGGCATTCTTCAGTAACACAACTTCATCACAGAAGTCACAGACTTCACGAAATCTCAGGATCGCTGGAGAAGGGAATGTTCCACCTGCAACATTCCATAAAATGATGGGGGAAATCGATGTTTGCCCTGATTCGAGAGTTCTGCTAGTTCTTTTCCCTGAATTTACCTGACATTTTTCTTTCAAAGTATTCAAAGCATTTTTACAGGCTCCGTTTTACTAATTGTCACAACATCTCCAACAGGCTGCCTTCCAGGCTCACAGATAGGGAAGGTTGCAGATAAAGCACAGAAAAGTTCAGCCCCGAGACCTGGAAGGATGACAAGGAGACAAAGCTTCTTACAGAGCAATGAATCTTCAGGGACAGGAATAAGCTACAATCCACCGACATTTTTGAACAACCTGAAAACTACATTCTAATGATGAACACGAATGAAAATCGTTTTCTTGTGGACTTTAGGAAGACAAATTACAAACTAATTTTACAGTTTGGAAAAAAATACTTTTGAAGTAAAGTTTCCCAAACTGGTTCAGAGGATTATTTCTCTGAGAAATGTTAATAAGTCTAGAGGGAAAAAAAAGAATGATAATCCAAAAATTTGGGGTTAGCCAAAACAACCTTGAAAGAGAACTCTAAGAATTGCACTCATACTTCTTGATTCCAAATTTTCTGCAGAGTTACAGTCGTCAGAACAGGCACAAAACAGAAAGACAGACAGAAGACCAGTTAACAGAAGAGAAAGCCCAGGAAGGATGATTTTCAAAGGATGCTCAGAGAATTCAATGACAGACAGTCTCTCAACAAACAGTGCGGATGCAACTGGGCAGTTACATGAAAAACAGTAAAGTTGGATCCTTACCTTATACCACATACGAAAGTAACTCAGCATGGATCAAAGACTCAATCATAAGAGCTAAAACTGTAAAGCTCTTAGAAGAAGGCATGGAGGAGAAGATGACTGGATTGGCAATGATTCTCGGTTACAATACTGAAAACAGGGGTAACAGAGAGACCAGACACTGAGTGAGGAGCCAGGAGTTAGCTCCCGCTTGGAGATTTTCCCCACCCCGGACACACTCCTTCACCTAATGAACACTCTTTAAACTTGACAAAAACCAGTGTTTCAACAAAGGGAAACTTTGTGTCCCCAGTTCTGCACTTTCAGAAATAATGTGCATGTGTGTGTGTGTGCACTCAGTCGTGTTCAACACTTTGCCACCATATGGACTGTAGTCCACCAGGTTCCTCTGTGCATGGGATTCTCCAGGCAAGAATACTGGAGTGGGTTGCCATTTCTTACGACAGGGGATCTTCCCGACCCAGGGATCGAACTTGCGTCTCCTGTGTCTCCTGCATTGGCAGGAGGGTTCTTTACTACTGAGCCACCAGGCAAGCGGGCAGAAATAATAACACTGAACAAACACCTCCTCCCAGCTCGGGGAGTCAGCTGCAGTCACCACACCATCCCCACAGATCAGCCTCTTCTTTGCTGAGGACTGGACCCAGGTTGGGCTGGCTTACCTAAGCTCAGCAGCCGTCCTCAGCCGGGGAGAGGGGTGACGGGCTGCAGTTGGCATGGGCGTGGAAGCTGCAGGCTGTCGTCACCCCAGCCACACCTCAGACACCGTCACTGACATGCTCATGTGATACAACCACGTTATTCGCAAATTTATTGATTACTTATCGACCCCAAATTCACCAATCTCGCCATACAATGTCACTATCTTGCATTTATAAATGCTCTGCGAGCCAACAATTATAGCACGGAAGATACATCTCTCACTTCTGTAAGATATTTTCAAGCCCCATACTGGAAGAATTTCAGAGTGTTTCTGGATAAATATAGGCAAACTCACTGTCTCTCTGAAGCTTATTTTAAAAACACATTACTCACCCTTCGTGGTCAAATCCTTGAAGCCAGGTCCTCCTCACGCTGGGGGTCAGCCCTCCATCCTTAGGGGTTGGCACAGGGAAGTCACTTCTTTCTCGATTCTGACTTCCAAGCCTTAACCACGGCCCGAGGAGGGCGTCCCCTGCACCCCTGACCTGACCTCAGCACAGCTCACAGGAGATGACGAAACTCTGAGAAACAGTACTCTGCACTGCAGATCACCCATGAGGCCAGCGCAGAGCACAGGCTTCTGCTTTTGCAGAGAGTTATAGCTCTCATTTATCGAGCGCTCACTCTGGGCCAGACTCCCCGCCAAGCACCCCGCGATCATCGTCTCGTTCCATCTCCACGGGGAAGGACACGCACACTGTTGTCAGCCTCCGACTTCAGACAGGGAAACTGAGCCACACGGCTACTCACCTCTGGTCAGCCCACATCGCATGAGCCACATGGTGTCATCTGGACTTGACCTTTCATATCAGAAGTCTTCCCTGGTGGCTCAGAGGGTAAAGAATCTGCCTGCAATGCAGGAGATCTGGGCTCAATCCCTGGGTCAGGAAGATCCCCTAGAGAAGGAAATGGCAACCCACTCCACTATTCTTGCCTGGGAAATCCCATGGACAGAGGAGGCTGGCGAGCTACAGTCAGTGGGGTTGTAGAATCGGACACGACTGAGCTACTAACTAACACACTTTTATGTATCAGAGGCACTTGACCTCAGGCTCCTGTGGGATGTGGGAGGCAGAATTCTACAGTGGCCCTCAACATCAGGCCTTGTTGTCTACATTCCCTGGGGGATTGCTTCCTGTGGAATGTGGGAGGAGCCTGGGATCAGTAGGATGTCACTGCCTTGATCAAGTATATGGCAAAGGGAAGTGATGTGAGTGAGAGGTGGCAAAGGTCACTGGTTGGATGATTTCGAGTTCTTCCAAAGGGAGATGATCCCTGGTGGACCTGGCCTAAGCAGGTGAAGGCAATCTGTAAAAGAAACGCAATGGAGATGCTCTCTCGCTAGCCAGAAGGAGCAAGTGACCGTATTGTGTAGGGACTGCTCAGCAGAGACCGTGGGAGGGGGGCCTTTACTGGCTGGGGCGTCAGTCCTACAAGGCAAGGGACTGCTTTATGCCAACAGCCAGAGGGTGAATGTTTCTGGAACACAAACTAAGCATCACCCAAATCCCCAAAACAGGCCGTCACGGCAGCCCAGCACCTGGCGTCATGCAATCATGTCCCTCCAGAGCCGGGCCGCGCTGGGCTCCCTTCGGTTCAACCCAGCAGAAGGAAGGGGCGCGTCCTCCCTGCCTGGAGATGGCCCTGCCACCGCTGGCTGCACCTTCCAGCCCCGTCCTCCACGGGCACTCCCTTCTGCACCCTTGCTCCAGCCCAAGGCGGGGAGTTTGGACCTGGGTCAGGACTCACAGAGCAGCGGGGTTTCAGGAGCTTCTGTGGAACGGAGGAGGGAGATGTGAGCCCCTGGTCCCCAGGAAGCTGTTGTTTGGAAGACTGCAGAGCCCAGCGCCCAGGAAACCAAACAGGAATCCCTCGGGGCTCATGGTGACGGCTTGGCGGGTCCTCTTGCTTCTGCTGAGTCCCCTAAAGTCCTCCTGACTCCCCCCCCACACCAAGCTGTTCCCCTGTGGGGAGGCAAGACAGTGAGGCCTGAGGTCCATAGACTGACAAACATCCTTCGCTGGCCAAGCTACCTCTGCACGTCCACCCTGGAAACCCGCACCGTGAGCAGGTGGGGGACACATGGATGCTGCAGGCCAACCACACGGCTGTGCAGGGTGACCTTGGACAGCCAGCCCAGCGCTTCCACAGCGTGTCTCCTGCCTGCCCCGACCCCTTTCTCTCTCTCTCCAACCCAGACTCTACTAATGCTCACATTTCAGGTGTTACAGCAATCAGATTTTTTTTTTTTAGAAATTCACATTTCTTTTTATTTTTTAAAATTTTTATTTATTTATTCTGATATAGACCATTAAAAAAAATCTTTATTGAATTTGCTACAATATTGCCCCTTTTTTATGTTTTGAGTTTTTGGCCATGGGGCATGGAGGATCTCAGCTCCCTGACCAGATCAAACCCACAGCCCCTCCAATGGAAGGTGGAGTCCTAACCACTGGGCCACTAGGGAAGTTCCAGGCAGCAACCAGATCTTAACTGAGCTGCTCTGGTGCTAATGGACAAGGGTGTGCTTGGAGCTATAACATTTCCACGAAGCAGGTAAGGTTTCACTCTCCCAACACAGACACATGATTCATCTCATCAACCTACCAGTGTGTTTGCCTATCTGCCACTTTAAAAGAGGTGCTTGAACAAATTTTGGTATTTCTGTGAGAGAGGATGCCTGTCTAATAAGATATATTTATAAATGAGCAAATCGAACAATAACACTGGTAGCACTGAGCGCAGGGTGAGGCACATTTTGTGCGCTATTGTAACTTTGATGAAAAAGCAGCTGAGGTTAATAAACCAGTCTGATCTTCAGCCTTTGAATCCCCTGCTCTCTCACAGCTGCACGATGTCGACAATGCTGACGAGGCATGGATGGACGTCCGCTCACCAAGGCCAGCAGGGCCTGGAACAGACTAGTGATGCCTGGTCCATGTGTTTGTATAAAACTTAGGTGAGTGAGAATGTTGATGTCAGGCTGATCACAGCTGCAGATGATACCAAGCTGAGGCTGATGAACAGCATTACAAATAACAACAGACCAAATCTAAGTGTCAAGCTGAAAACGTAAGTCTGAGAACTCAACATGTCGTTGAGTATGAACGCCCCAGATGTGGGCCCACAGCTGCAGACCCGCACAAGACTCGGGTGTTTTTATCGAGATCACAACACATGTCAACAGTGCGTTGTGGCTGGCAGCAGCCGATTTGAAGACGAGGATGGCCGTCTCCTGTCATCTCTTTGTAGCCGGCGAGGATCACCTGGAGGTCCAGGCTCACACCACATGGGAGAAGGCCAGGCCCTGCCGCCCACTGCCATTCAAAACACAACCCCGCTTCCAAAACCCATGATGGAGCAGACACGAGCATGGCAGAGGGTTCACCGTTGCACAAAGGAGTAACTGCCACAGCAGCATTTTAAGGATCAAGGCAAGATTTTTCTCTTTAGCAGTGCAGCCTTCAAATATCAGGCTTGAAACTGCATTTGTGTGATAAGACGTGATAGAAGGTGGATGGCACGGTGTGAAATGATCTGATAGCATGAGAAATTGTTGTTAGGAGGTGTTGGCACTTGAAAAACAACACATCTTACTCCTATTGGCTTCAGCCTGTGCCTTCCGCAGGATCACCCTGCTGTGCTCCTGCTTGGAAGCCTTCAGAGCTGGAGCCGATACTGATGCGGCCTGGGCTTCTCTGTCCCCCCTGCCTTGCAGACAGACGCAGGACGCTGTGAGGCCGCTCCAGCGAGGCCCGTATTATCCGGCTGCGCATGTTTTATTGTACTTCCTACTCTGGTGTCAGAATAACGTAGGGCCTCTGTGTGCAAGAAAGAGAGGGTCCTGGTGGTTAAGGATTCTTACTGGCAGATTCTGTTTGGGTGAAACTTATCAAAAACAAGTGGCGACTGATGTAACTCAAAGTTCGATGCTTACTCAATCATTTCCCCTCATCTCTGGCTTGTCTTCTGGAGGATTCTGTGGGAATTTGGTGGGGGATGGCCATTGCCAGTGTCTTAAAGCTCTCAGGGCTTGGAAGAGAAACATTCCTCTGGGGTAAACGGGCTGTGACATGTGTTCACAAGTTCCTGGTCAACACAGGCAGCTCTCCCCTGGCGACTTTCTTGTTAAATCCATGCTTCCTCTCCACCTGCCTACCACCCTTCTTTTCTCAGCTCGGGTCCTTTCCACCTGGGTCCCCACCCAAGTCATCGATGACGAGGAAGTTGAATCGCTTTGTTACAGGGTCCTACTGCTCTGCCCAGGGACAAGTTGCAAGAGCTCATGGGAGTTTTAAGCTTGCTCACAGGAGAGTGGGAAACTGTGCACCGTGTGTATATATGTGTGTGTGCGTGCACACATGTGCATGCATGCTCAAAGAAGAGGGGGGTGGGAGAGGGAGAACTACAGAGTACCAGGAATTATCTCTGCATAAAGAAATTAAAAGAGAATATTTTCCAGAGCAATTGAAGCCCATCTCCTGAACAATGACGACAGCTCCTCATTCTCGACAACAATAGAGGGCACGTAGGAGTCAGCTCATTAGAATATCTGTGGCTCTTTTCTGTTCTCTCTGCATTAAGCCCCCATAATGTCAGTTGTCACTTATTAATGACAATTAACTAGTAATCAGCAGTGAGACTCTTCGAGGTGGTCTTTGCCTGACAGGTGAAGAAAGAGAGCATTGCGCAGTGCCACGCGCTGACACGGAACCTTCAAAGGAGCACGGCATTTCCATAAATTATTTCAGAAAGAAATTTTCTTTTATACATTCTCTCTAAAGCTTAAGGATCTTTAACCCTAGCAAGGCCACGCTCTCATCCTCTCTTTGCTCTTCCTTTCTTACCAGATGAAATCTGCAGACCATCGCCAGTAGATAGAACCTCACCTCCATTCCACCAGCCCGTGACCGCCATGCAACACTCCTCATCATTCTTGCTCCTTCTGGCTTCCGACCACTCAGTCCTAGTTATATCCATGCAGGACACCCAGGCCTGTACCTGTTGCATATTACCAGCTGCCCCACTGGGCCAGCAGGCTGATTCCGCCTTCTCGCTGGCACGTTCTCTGTTCTTGATGTCAATCTGTCTGCTCACCATGCTTCCTAAAACAGACGGCAGCATGACCATCCCCTTTCAGAATCACCATGGAGACCATGAGCACAGACCCAAAACAGTTCCCCAGTGTATCCAGTCTATGGGGGACCTGCACCTGAGCCTCCCCCGAACCTGAGCTCTCCTACCATTCTCCCCACTGGGACCCACAGACCACGTCTGCCACCCTGCATGCAGGCTTGAGCATCCAGCCACAGGCCCCCGGAGCCTCGCACCTGCTTTCTCACGGGTTCCTCTCGCCTGGCTTCTCGATGCTGAGAATCTGACCCTCCCGAAGGATTCTAAGAAGTGGGAATATTCAAGAAGGAAACTCTTGGAAAGAGAGTGAGAAGGCTAAATGTTATCCCTACAGGAGTAAAACATTTGCTTGACTTTGAGGAGTTGTGGCTCAAGAAAGGCCACATTTGCTCCTGGGAATTGCCTGATGACACCTGGCAAAGTGGAATGAATGCCGTTCATGCCACCTGTGAGGAGGGCACTGAGCAAGTGCATCGCCAAGGTCACCTGGGAGGAGGGAGCGAGTGCATTGCCAAGGTCACCTGTGAGGGGGGCACTGGGCGAGTGCATCACCAAGGTCACTGAACGTCAGCTACATCCATTCACGTCAAAACAATGCCATTAAGGCTCTCCTCCTGGCATGGAAACCACTGGCCAAACTTTTAAACCAGTGTCCAAAATATCAGACTTTCTTGTCCTGATATGGGATCCCACTCTTGACAAGGAAAGCCTCTAGAAGCAGATAACAAGAAATTTTAAAATCTAAGCATCTTAGAAAAAAGAAGGGGGCACGCTTTTATCAAAATGGAAATTTTTAGAAAAATAAGAGGTCATCTATAGCTTTATGATTCCTCTTTTTGAAATATGCTCTTCTGAGCAGCTAGAGTGAGGGCAACGTGGGCATCTCTCTGTAGCTTCCAGTTTTGTCAGGCTTTTGTGACATTACAAAGCTTCCATGACAACAAACAACAGGATGCTACATATGGTCACACTGTAAACTTCCAGTGTAACCAGAACTAAAAGATGAACATTTGCCTTATATTAATATTTAAGATAAATATTTGAACTGTGGTGTGGGAAAAGGATCTTGAGAGTCTCTTGGACTGCAAGGAGATCCAACCAGTCCATCCTAAAAAATCAGTCCTGAGTATTCATTGGAAGGACTGATGCTGAAGCTGAAAGTCAAATACTTTGGCCACCTGATGCAAAGAGCTGACTCATTTGAAAAGACCCTGATGCTAGGAAAGATTGAGGGCAGGAGGAGAAGGGGATGACAGAGGAGGAGATGGTTGGATGGCATCACTGACTCAATGGGCATGAGTTTGAGCAAGCTCCAGGAGTTGGTGATGGACCAGCAAGCCTGGCGTGCTGCAGTCCATGGGGTTGCAAAGAGTCAGATACGACTGAGCGACTGAACTGAACTGAATATTTAAGATAACAACCACCATGAGGCTGGACACTTTAAATGCCCTCTTAAATGAAATACACACTTCATAGTAACCTGAAGATTGAAGCAAATCCTTTCCTTCAGATTTCTGTCTACAGGTCATTACAGATTTTAATGCCCAGGATCCAACCTTGAGAGGCAGTCATAATCAGGCCATTCGGTATGCAAAAACCCACGATTCCATACCAATATCTGAGCTTACCATCCAGGAATTTTGCACATCCAGATTATTATTATGAC